CGGTCACTCGCTCTCAGCTCTGCCTTCGGATGAGTCCGTAGAGCCGAGTGGCCCGTATCCAGAGCTTGTGGGCTGCCTCATGTACCTGATGACCTGCACTCGACCTGACCTTGCATACCCTCTTAGCATCCTAGCACGCTATGTCGCTCCTGGCCGTCACCGGAAGGAGCACATGGATGTTGCTAAGAGGGTGTTGCGCTACTTGTGCAGTACGTCGGGCATGGGGCTTGTGCTTGGAGGGCGAGACCGGGTTGTTCTCACAGGGCACTCAGACGCTTCTTGGGCAGACGACCAGGCTACTCAGCGGTCGTCCCAGGGTTACACCTTCAGCCTTGGCTCTGGCTCAGTTTCTTGGCGTTCTACTCGCTCTTCTTCTGTTCTCAGCTCCAGTTGTGAGGCTGAGATCTACGCCACAGCCATGGCTGCTCAGGAGCTACGCTGGCTGACCTACCTGCTGACCGACCTCGGAGAGCGGCCTCGTTCTCCTCCAGTGCTGTACGTCGACAACAAGGCTGCCATTGCCTTGTGTGAGGAGCACAGACTGGAGCACAGAACGAAGCACATCGCCCTGCGGTACTTCCTTGCTCGAGAGCTGCAGCAGCGTGGTCAGCTTCGTCTGCGTTACGTGGCCACGGAGGCCAACACTGCTGATGTGTTCACCGAGGCACTTCAGCCTTGTGACCATCAGCGCTTTTGCACTCTGCTAGGCCTTGTACCTACTGGGCCTCACTTGCTTACCTCTTGACCTTGCTTGTACTGTGATCACTATATATATATGCCTACTTGTTTACTTTTGCTAGGTTGTGATCACTGTATCTCTTGCTTTGTTATAAACCTGCATGTGAACTGGTCTTGTGACCGCTTGCTTGTGCTCGGAATTTGTGTGGAATCCTTGAGATCCACCCTGAGCTTGCTTTGCTTTGCTTTGACTGGTCTTGTGACCCTGTGGTTGTCTCCCACTGCGCCTATGGGGGTGTGTCAAACATTGCATGCTTATATTATGTAGGCTGTAGTGGGTTACACCTTAGGGGGTACTGAAAGTTAGGGTTTCCTACTTGTACCAAACTATGTGCTAGTTCAATCCATTCCTGCTCAGTTATTTCTGACACCCCTAGCTCCACTCCCCCTTCACCCCCCTAGGACCACTCCTTCGGCTCCCCACACAACCACCCCCCTGAGCGGCAGCTGCAGCAGCGGGAGACGGAGGAGGAGGAGAAGGAGGGGACGGGGCACACAACCGGCACCCCCACACCCGCCACCCCCACACTCCACATCCCCAAACCCTAAAACGGGTGGGATAGGGGCAGGAGCGCGGGGGACGGCGAGAGGGGGACGGACGAGGCGCGCGCAGGCTGCCCGCGCCGCGCGCTGGCCTGGCGCAGCCCGTACGGGCCGCGCGCGGGCCTGGCGCAGCCCGTACGGGCCGCGCGCGGGTCCCAGGGGCGCTTCGACGGGCGACGGGGGCGTTTTGGCGGGCGACGGGGGGCGCTCCGACGGGCGACGGGGGCGCTTCGACGGGCGACGGGGGGAGGGCGCTTCGACGGGCGACGGGGGGCACTTCGACGGTGGGAAACCGCCGCGCGCCTCGGGGCGCACGGCGGGCAGAAAACCGCCGCGCGCCCCGAGCGCACGGCGGGATGAAAACCGCCGAAACCCTAAAAACGCCGCGCCTTGCGAGCGCGCAGTAGGCAGAAAACGTCGCGCGCCCGAGGCGCGCGATAAGCAGGACAGCAGCGGAAGCATTAGGTGGCGGGCCCACCCACAGGATCGACCCAGGAGGGTCGACCTGCTCTGATAGCATGTCAGAACTAGCTGTAGAAAGTAAGAATGAAGAAAGGAGGGTTTGCACTAGCAACAATGGTGGTACAAATAGCTAACCCTAGAAGGGTTGTACTCGCTATAGAGCACCCCACTGCAGGCTAGAGCATAATATTCTGACACCTTAGGCCATTTCCACGTTACCTATTAGCTAAACGTTTCATTTTTTCGTCACCTTTAGCATCCGCGATTTTCCTACTATTCTCACACGGATCCCCTAAAGCAGTCGCGCAACCTCCGTTGCGCCCTTTCTCGTCGCTCCTATCACGATCTCGCGCCTCCCCACTCCGTCGCACCTCCTCCTCGCGTTTCCGACCCTCGCATGCATGTTTCCACCCGTAGCACATTCTGCACCCACTCCCTACCCCTTCTATCACGCGCGCGTTGCGCTACCGCCACGCGCGCGGGTGCGCGCTTTGCACCGTTTAGCTGCGGTGGGCCCTACCCTTTCATCAAGTCCCTCTCCCCCCCTCCCCCCCCCCCCCTCCTCGGCAATCCACCCCTTCACCCTCCTCCTCCTCTCCTCTCTCCCTCTATTTCCCCCCCACTATCTCACCCCTTCCTTCGCCTCTTTCCTCTCCTAATCTGCTGAAGCTGGTAGATGATTGTGTTGCTGTTCTTCTTCCACATCTTTCCTCCTCCTCAATATCCCAACCTCAACTGCTCAACTGCAAACTTTTCCTCCCTCCTTTACTTATTTATCCCCTCAGTGGCGCAGCAGCAGACTATTCTGTCGTTATTCCTCCTCTTGTTTCTCCCCGTGGCAGTGCATTAACAGACTACTTCATCGTTCTCCTTCCTCCTCTTGTTTCTCCCCTCAGTGGCGCATCAGTAGACTACTCTGCTACTATCCCTCCTCTGGTTTCTCCCCTCAGTGGCGCAACAGCAGACTACTTCGCCACCATTCCTACGCCTCTTATCCCCTCATCTACTCTACAGGTGTTTCCTCCTCCTCATGGCGACCTCTCTCCTCCTCCTCTCCCTCCCTCTGCTGGTCCTTCAGCTTGCACCCGAGGGCAATGCATTCAACTTCCCAGTTGGCTGAATTGTCTCGAGCGCACGATGTCTGGCACCCTTGTGAGTGGCTTTAAAATCCGGTTTGTCACTCATCAGAGTGGCTCTGGCGCCATTCGTACCCATCCCCCTACACCTACCTCTTCCTCCTCTTACCCTTGCTGCTGAGCTTCTTGCTACCATCACTTAAACCGAGCGAATTGCAGCTACTGCCCAAGCAACTGCCACTGCTGCTGCCCCTGGGAATGCAATTTCCACTTCTTGCTACGTCCCTCGAGAGCACCCGCAAGCGCATCGCTGATCACCTAGCTGGCCCCTCTCCTCCCTCTTCCTCTGCCCCATCTCACTCTGACCTCCTCGCTGACTGGCATGTTGCCAACGCACGTGCTTGTCAGGTTATCCTTGCCTGCGTGTCGCTAACACTTCTTCCTCAGTGCTCGCACATCCGCTACGCCAAGGACCTCCTCCCCTACCTCACTGAGCTCTTCCAGTCTCAAACTCCCATCGGTGTCATTGATGTCTTACGTGAGCTCACTTCCCTTCACGTTGCTGACTTCACCATCATGGCAGGGCAAGAGGGAGGGGGGGGGAGGGTGGTGTATTGTAAGGAATTTTTGGCATTCCTTATCGCGTGCTTCAACATCGCGTACAACAGCAGTTGTTGTTCGACCGTTACCGCTAACGGGGTTTCGCCAGCCTTCGTGCGCACTATTCTTTAAACCATGCACCGCTGGCCTGGCCGAGTCGGCCTACGCTTCGGGTTTAGCCCAAACCTCGTTGCCAGCATCGCACTTGCTAGCTCGCACGCACCGCGTTACCGTTTGCATGTTTCGCGTATAAGTACTTGTTTGACAACCTAGTGCACTCCTCGCTATCTCGTTCCATTGCACCCGTAACACAACCGGTAGCACAAAAAAAGTTTCGGTAACATCATTGAGATACTATGATTGAAACATTTTGAAGCACAATGCTCGACCATACGTTGAAAACATTTGATAACGACGTACCATTTATCCATGGCATATTCCAATATGAATTTGTAATAGCAGAATGCACGTATGAAAATGGAATGAATGCTCCTATAGACGACCTTTCCTGCGAAAGAATCTTCACTTGGTCGTAAAGCCCAAAGGCTGTCCAGAATAGCGTTTCACGCTCAGTCTGTGAGCATGCAGAGCTTGCATTCCACCTTATGCCGCTCCACGCCTTGTTCCTCACAATGCTTGAGAGATTCTTTTGGCTGTTGATCATCTCCCTTAGGCAGCTGATTGCGTAGGTGTTGTTACTAGGCAGCAGGTTGCCGATGATGGCTGCGACGTAGTCGAAGGGCGTGTGGAAGAGGAAGAGCGGCGTGGACATGTTGTGGAGAGTGTACTGCGGGAAGAAGCACCGCCACTGCAATGCCGGCCTTGCTGCTGTATTGGGGAGAGAAGGGGCCATTGGGATGGAAAAGGAAGGGTCAGGGTATCATGAAAGCAGATGAGGTAGCATGGGAGCAGATGAGGTAGCATGGGAGCAGATGAGGTAGCACGGGGGCAGATGAGGTAGCATGGGGGCAGACGAGGTAGCATGGGAGCAGATGAGGTAGCATGGGAGCAGATGAGGTAGCATGGAAGCAGACGAGGTAGCATGGGAGCAGATGAGGTAGCATGGGAGCAGATGAGGTAGCATGGGAGCAGATGAGGTAGCACGGGGGCAGATGAGGTAGCATGGGGGCAGACGAGGTAGCATGGGAGCAGATGAGGTAGCATGGGAGCAGATGAGGTAGCATGGGAGCAGATGAGGTAGCATGGGAGCAGATGAGGTAGCATGGGAGCAGATGAGGTAGCATGGGAGCAGATGAGGTAGCATGGGAGCAGATGAGGTAGCATGGGAGCAGATGAGGTAGCATGGGAGCAGATGAGGTAGCATGGGAGCAGATGAGGTAGCATGGGAGCAGATGAGGTAGCATGGGAGCAGATGAGGTAGCATGGGAGCAGATGAGGTAGCATGGGAGCAGATGAGGTAGGATGGGGGCAGATGAGGTAGCATGGGAGCAGATGAGGTAGCATGGGAGCAGATGAGGTAGCATGGGAGCAGATGAGGTAGCATGGGAGCAGATGAGGTAGCATGGGAGCAGATGAGGTAGCATGGGAGCAGATGAGGTAGCATGGGAGCAGATGAGGTACCGTAAGGGCAGGTGGGGTTGGAGGGGCGGTGCAGTGCAGTGAGGTTCTGCGCCAGCGAGCGAAAGGTGTAGTTCATCGCACGGTCACGCGTGTCTGTGGTGGGGAAAGGGGTCGGGATTGACAGGCGGAGGAGGTTGCATGACAGAGGGAGAAAGAGGCGGAGAGGGGAGTCACCGGATGGCACCTTGAGTGGTGCGCGAGGTGATCCACCTGTGCCTGCCTCGTCCACACACTGCATGCACCGCTGGGATAGAGGGCGCACTCACCACACCTCACAGTCACCTGCTTCACGCATGGTAGCTGGTGAGGTTAGCCACCCACTCCTCTCAGAGCAAATGCGGGAAGCACACCTTCACATGCCCAGACAGATTCCTCCCTTCAGCAAAACAGTGGATCTACCAGACACTCCTGCTTTAGAGTTGCCGGCTTCTCTGTTTCCACCTGGAAGGCACACTTTGAAGCACATAGAAGAGTGTTTGGAAACTCAAGGAGAACAACACCCGAAGAACAGTGTGGGCGTACCAAGGAAGAAGCCCGAGTCAACGAGGCACCGCGTGGAGGCAGATGGGAAGGACGACGCCAGCCAATCACAAAGGTTCACTGTTGCTTGCCCGCCCGCTGAGCTGCCCGAAAGCAAAATTTGTGAGGGTGAGCGCATGTCGCGCTTCTGCACGAGATCTGCTTGGCAAGAGGGGCGCAGGCGAGGTGGGGCGCAGGCGAGGTGGGGCGCAGGCGAGGTGGGGCGGAGGCGAGGTGGGGCGGAGGCGAGGGGCAAGGAGGCGAGGAGGTGAGGAGGCGAGGAGGCGAGGAGGGTAAAAGAGAGCAAGGAGACAGGAGTAGTGGGGAAGGTGGAGCGCAATGGGACGGAGAGCAGGCAGCACTGAGGCAAGGGAGGAGAGACGAAACAATTGAGGTGAGAGGAAAGGAGATGGACGAGGGCAAGGCGGGGCAAAAGGAAGAGAGGGAGAGCGGGTGGTGAGTGGATGGAGCCACGTGACTGTGAGGCACAAGACACTGCGCACAGGCAAGGGGCCATGCGGAGAGCAGTGGCGAGGGCGAGGGGGAGGCGCACCTGCAATGACGGCCTGGATGATGTTCCACCCGTCCAGAAAGATGGCTGCCGTGGACGGCGCCGATGCGTTGGTTGACCTCGTTGACCCCGTTGACCCGCTGGTTGAGTTGCCAGCTGAGCTGGAGTTGCGAGGGGCGGCAGCAGCAGGGGCGGCGAGGGAGACGTTGAGCGCGCCCCTGGTGCCGGCGTACCCACCGCCGTCGCAGTAGATGAGGCGCACGAGGTTCCATTGATACAGCGCCGGGTTGTCCCCCGCACTGCTCGACAGAATGCCCTCGAACGGCGGCCTCAGCTGCGCCGCCTGCAGCCACATAGAGGGCGGGAGGAGGGTGGGGTGTCGGGCAGAGGAGCGTGAAGGGGGAACCTGTGAGGGTCACGTGTTCTAAGGGGCATCGGACGATTGCATGCCGTGATGGGGGGATGTGTGTGGCGGAATGGGGAGATGGGGGGGATGTGCGCGGGGGAATGGGGGTTTGGGTGTTCGATTCTTTTTAGCCAGAATGAGAAGAGTGAAAGGCTTGCAGACGGAATAAGGAACGGGGGGACATTAGGGAAAATGGAGGAGCGAAGAGAAGACAGGAAAACGGGTCTTTTTGTTCGAACGCTTTCTCTTGGAAGGTCCATTGAAGCCAAGCAGAGACGCAGGACCACCGTGTGGCCGGCAGCTACGGATGTGGAACCCGCGTGACTAGCGGGGTCGGGATGACTCACATAGCGCGCGGGGTTGGGATGACTCACATAGTGCGCGGGGTTGGGAGGTCTCACATAGTGCGCGGGGTTGGCGGGTCTCACATAGTGCGCGGGGTTGGCGGGGAAGCTCTTGCTGGACCCCAGGCGCGTGGCGGCCCTGGCGGCGCAGTCAGCGGGGGTGACGCACCACGCGCCCCCGGGCAGGTAGATGTGCCACCGCAGACGACCCGCCGCCGCGCCTGGGCGGAAGTAGTACCCGGGGGGACTGCGCGGGGCGAGGGAGGGGGAGAAATTGGGAGGTGGGGTTGTGAGAGGCTTTTTCGGGGCGGGTCGAATGCGCTGGAAGGCGGAAGTGGCGGCGGCGGCGATTTGCTGCTGCGCGTGGCGGCGCTCCCCCGGGTGAGTGAGCCCATGACCCCTCCACGCCACCACGCGTGCGGGGAAACAGGAGGCAGATGGCGGTCGGTCAGAGGGACGAGACGCGGCGGCGCGATGGAAAGGCGTCGTAGAGCAAGTTGGAAGGGATATGCAGGGGAGAGGGAAAACGCAGACTACGAGTGTCACTCTTTGTTTCCAATCTCCACGATTCGGAAAAAAGCCACTCTCGCCAGCTCGCAACCACCCATGATGGCGCTACGGCAGTGGTGCTACGGCAGTGGCTCTACGGCAGTGGCTCTACGGCAGTGGCGCTACGGCAGTGGCGCTACGGCAGTGGCGCTACGGCCCATTTTTCCAGCGCCGCCGGAAAACTTCATCGCGCCTCAGTCCACCGGGGCGCGAGGGAATGCGTGATCGGTTTTGATCCGTAGGTTGACGTGGGGGGGATGACGGTCAAGGAAGCCATCGCGCCGAATGCGCGAAAGCCCGCGAGATGAGAGCCGCGCTTTTGTGAGGCCGTAGAGGGAACGCGAGCCGCGGGGCTACTTTCTGTTGGGGGGGGGCTACTACAAGGTTCGGATACAAAGCGATCAATTTCTGCGTTGCAAGCGCGAGAATGCTCTTTCCTCCGGGATACGCGATGCCCTTTCACTGCTGCGACAACTCTCCTAACCTCCGTCGCGGACAGCTGGTTCGCTATATACCTCTTCTTGAAATCGACGTGACTCGTGGCTAATACCTTCCGTCGAGACATTTAGCGCCGAAAGTGTTGTTCGCAAGCAGGACGAGCGTGGCGTTGGGCGGCGCTGCTGGCTGCGCCTTCCGCAGATCCCGCCGCGGAGTGCCAGCCGTCGGGCAGACGAGAGTGGCGAGGAGCGCAACTGTGAAGGGAAGGAGCAGCGAGAGCTGCTTAATACGCATGACTTCGGACGGAAAATTCAGGGCCGATCGTGTTGCCTGAAAGCTAGGCTATGCCGAGCGTGAGGTATCCTCTTCTCAAGCCAGTGATGGCAATTACGGAGTTTATAGTTGGAGCTGGTCATATGGCTGGAGAGCAGGGACTTGAGGGTAGATGAAGTGAGTGGTCGGTGGTGCAAAATCTGTTGTGTTGAATTGAAAGTGCTGGGCCCATCTCGCTCTAAGTTCAGAATGCACTATCCGCGTCTCGGTTTGTCCAAGATAGCGGCGCGAGCGAACACACAAGCATGTTCGAAGCACAGGGCACGCCATGTGGCAGAGGGAAGCGCACCTTGGCCGTGTTTGATTCGCCAACGGTGTGGTGATGAGAGCCGACCCAGGCACGGTAGGTTGCTTGCCATTCGCGCCATCCAGTTCTTATGGGTTTAAAAAATAATATTGAGCGCGGAAGTCAATAACGAGGTTGTCTTCAAGTCCCCACCGCTATCATGTGCCGAACACGGGTGCAATTGAACGAGTGAGTGAAGATTGTACTAAAGATCCGTGATCCTACTTATCGCGTGCACGAATATTCCCGCCACTGTTTGTGTCACGACCCAACCTCAACGCTCGGTTGGTAACCCATGCTCCGGCCCTCTGCCTCGACAATTCCCAACCTCGGCGCTAGGCCCGTAGCGCACCCCATTTTCGCGAGTTATCGTTACCACAATAGTTCCGCTATGTAACATTCGTTAATTCCTTCTTTCGATATACTGTTTTGCTTCGATAATGCACTCTCCGTTCGCTCACTCAATTGCACTCATAACACTTGGTATCTAGAGCCACGACCCTTTTCGGGCCGCGCACACGCCTTCGCTTCCCACATCATCTCAAATTTTGGAGGGGGTATACGTCCATCAGCGACCATTCATTGCAGCTCACGTGCTCTCACATAAGAACACTCGGCCATTACCAAGGCTCTCGCTACATTCCTCCCATGTACGACAACGCCCGCATTCCTCTCGAAGGCCTCACGCAGGCACGCCTCGAGGAAATCGTGCGCCAACTACCAGAATCGGCAATCAAAATCACGATGATTGCTGCGAAACGCGACTCGGCGTTTCAAGTGGCATTGGCGAATGCACCAGCACTAGCACTAACGCCAGCATCAGTAAATGCACATGCACAATCGGACGAGCTGGTCGCCATTTCGTCCGAAATGCCATCACAACATAACAGCGTATGATAGCGCTCAGGAGCAATCAGCGATGGTGCCGCCCAATCTATGTCAGATATGGAGAGAACTAGGGCCGCACCAGGCATGAACACACCGGAAGAAGCTCGACGTCATGTCACCATCGTCGCAAGTTGGAAATATAAAGTTTGTGCTTCTGATGTGTCGAAAGGCTGCAACATAAGCGAGGCAAACTATAGAAAAGCAAGAGCGAGTCAACCGAAGCGGTTGAGAAAAGTTACAGCAAGAAGTTAAGCGAAAGGTCAAAGGTCAGCGACCTTTGACTCGTCAAAAAGCAGCGCGACAGCAAGGACACACAACTGACTCGCTATTGAGCAGTTGCCCGAGTCGTCACTGTATCAAACCGCAACAGCAACAGCAGTAAGTTAAATCTTTCATATTCCTTGCTAAAAACAACTTATCTTGTTCTCACATACGAGTGCAAGGTGGTTCAACCAGTTCACTAGAACGCTTCGGCAAAATACATCTTTATCCTTAGTCTTAGTCGTGAAAACGATCCTAAGGGCTTTTCTCAACCCAACATGGTATGAGAGCAAATGAGGCAAGACTCAACTCCGTTCAAACTCCTACAACAATAAAAGGAATGGCAACGCAGAAGGAAAGGAGCTCCTCTAACGGGTCTCCCAGCACTACTCCTACTCCACCTCCAGCCTCTGGACTACAGACAGAAAGAGGTACGGCGACAAGACCAGCTGCTGACTCTACAGAAACTCCTACAAACCAAGCAACAGGCTTCGACCCAAGTATGATGGAGAAATTCTTCTCCTTCATGTCGTTTTACGAACAACACCAGCAAGGAGCACCTACGCAATCAAACAGCAGCGACAACAACAACGACGTTACTCCCATGAGTCTTGACGGCTCATCCTTTGCGCGCGGAAACCAGCAGCAGCCTACCTTTGTACCGTATGAGCCTCAACACGGCTCCGGCCTCCACCTTGACAAGAAACAAAGACACTGGATGCACTTCAGATGCAGTCGCAGTTTGCACACGTTCTGAAACTACAAACGTCAACGCCATTCAATGGCAAGTACTTCTATACCTGGTCGTTCGAGTTCGAGCTAATGATGGAATGCGCTCAGATTCTTGGCTTCTTCGACGGTTCCCTGCCATACCCACCGCAGGGGACACAGTACGACAAGCAGCAGTACACGTATCAGTCACTAATAGCGTACACCATACTCCTGCGCAACATAACGGCAAATGAGCAGCAGAACGTCCGATCTTATCGCGGATATGGCAACCCCGCCAGGCTCGCGTACAGCCACCTGAAGAACCTGTATCGAGCAGCCGACGGCGTTAATCAGAGTCGTCTCATGGCACAACTGACAACAGTGCAAATGCAACCTGACGAAAAAGGAATGGCATATATCAGTCGCTGCCGTGGTCTGGACGACAGACTCCTTTAATGCGGCGGATCAATATTTAAAGACGCTTTCATCACTGTCGTCATCACAGGCCTCGGTCCCCTGTGGCGCTCCACTCGGTCCATCCTTCGAGCCTATGGAAAAACCTCCGAGGCAGCCCTCTGCGCCGAAATTCACGCCGAGCAGCAAGACATGGACCTGCAAGAAGAACGTCACCAGAAAAAGGCAAGAAAAAGGCATCAGCACTAGAGTTTGCATTCCACACTCAACGGCGCTACAACAACAACAACCAATAGAACGAGCATCACGGATGAAGACGCGTACCACCATTTTGTCATCTTTGCCGAACGGTCGGTCATTCCCTCATTCACTGCCTAAATCTGCAGCAGTCAACACCGCCGCAATGTCAACTTCGACCTTCGAGCAGTCAGGTGGCCTCTACACAGCCATATCCCTCCAACCAAGTGCAGTCTTCAATGACAACGACAACGACACAACCTGCACGAGGCACAAGAAACATCGTGAGCTGCATGGTAAGAACAGGCTCCTGCGTCACCGAATCACCACCGACTTACTCACCGGAAGAATTACTCGACGAACGTACTCCTCGCCACGAGTCACTGGAACCGGATCCGACGTATGCAGCCATCGCCTAAAGAGAACCGTTCGGGAAAAACACTTGGTTCCTAGATAGCTACTACGGACAACATATATGCTCTTTGGGT